CCCGGTGCTCGCACAGAGAAGCCTTCCCAGCCCTCCCGGGGCCACGCTTGGCCGCCTGACCACAGCCCGAGCAAGGCGTTTCCGGCTATTGTGCAGAACGGGGTTGGCTCCAGGAACTGTGCCCCCGGGCGGGCCCGGGGGGGCGGGGGGCGCCGTGGACTCGGGGGCATCCTGGCTGGGTCTGGCTGGTGTCCTCCGGGCCAGGACCGCGGTCTGTGTAGCACCACCAATGCCCTAGACTTGGGGTGGACCCCACACCTGGTGCCTGCTCAGAAGCTCGGAATTGGTGGGCTGGAGAGAGTCCTCCCTCCCCAGGGAAGGGCACGTGGCCACCTTCACAAGGTCACGCCCAGGTGCAAGTGACCCCAGAACAGCGGTGGGGTTTGGTGAAGAACACGCATGCGGTCCAGGACACTGGGAGCCCAGGCACAGGGCCCCCGGCTCACCAGGGAGCACCCTAATCCTGGAATGGGGCTGGGAGTCAGTGAGCGGGTGCTGGCCGCATGGAGGCCTCAGGGTGGCCTGGACTCTAAGGCCAGCTCTGCCGCGTGGCAGATGGCCTGGGGGATCGCATGCCTCTTTGGACGTCACTCCTGGCACAGCGGAGGTAGAAGGGGAACCCTAAGATTTAGCAAGGGGCACCTGATCATTATCATGGACAGAGGACACGGGCCCTGGGAAGGAGGGGAGTTTGTCCGGGATTGGCCTGGACCCCAAGAATCCTGGACCCCTGCACCTCCAAGGGACTCCGGGCCGAGTTCAGTACGTCCAGGGCAGGGACAGGATCTCCATGCCGCTGGTGCCCTTCCCATGCCATCCCAGGGTCCCCACAGGACCTGGGCGGCCCCTCCAGCCTTCCTGGGGCTGGGGGGCCTGACTGTGGAGGTAAAGTGGTCAGCCGCTCCTCCAACGCCGCCTGACCCCATAACCCCACGCCCGGGTTCACCTGAGAGAGGTGAACACACAAGTCCACAGAAAAATCTGGCGGCTTTCCCGGAAGCAGGGTGCACGACAGCCAGAGGGTGGAAAGAACCTGATGTCCGCCGGCTGAGGGACAGACAGGATGAGGCAGACCCACGCCGGGAGCCACGGACATGGGCCATGGCACGCATGAGCCTCAGAGATGCGCCGAGGAGCCAGACGCAAAGGCCACACAGCGTGGAATCCCACTTGTGCGAAACTCCCGAACAGGCACGTGTGGACACAGGAGGCACAGCGGTGGTGGCCTCGGGCTGGGGACAGGGACGGGACGTGGGGGTTCTGGAGGTGACCCCTCAAAGCTTCAGGCCGCTTCTGAGGCAAAAATCTCTGAAATCAGCTGTGAGGGCAGCTGCCTGGCTCTGTCACCAGCCAAAGACGCGGTGACTTGCACCGTCTGAGAGAGTGGAGAGAGCGCACCGGGCGCCGTGTGAACTCCGTAGGCCGCTGCACGAAGGAGACGCCGCGGCTCACGCCGTGGGCTGCGCGAGAGATGCCACGGCTGACTCGTGGGGCCGCAGTCACAGCCCCCCTGGAGCTCGGGGCCTGAGGTCCCGCCGCCAGGGGCACAGAGCCAGGCCTGGCACCGTGCCTGTTTCCCGCTGCCCTCCGCCTCCGCCAGGCGTGCTTTCCCTTGACGGCAGGGCGTGGGGTGGCCCTCTGAGGCAGGCAAGGGGGCGTGAGGGGAGACATTTGTCCTGGCGTCCTGGGCCTGGTGGGCTCCCTGTCCCGCGCAGGCAGGCGCCTCTGGGGAGGACCTGCAGCCTAACCACGCGGGCACTGGCGTGCCTTCCCCACGCCGCACGGCCCCCAGGCCAGGCTCTTCCCCTCCGGACCTCAGTTTCCCCACAGGGGAGAAGAGGGCACAGGTAGATGGACCCTAAGAGCCCAGGAGCCCTGACACCCAGGGACCATGGTGGGCTTCGTGCCCCCTTCCCCCCAGCAACAGGCCACTGGAGCTTCTCATCAGGAAAGACCCAGGCTAAATTTACAGCACCGGGCGGGAGAGGTCAGGCGCGGCCCCCACCCTGGCCCATGCTTGACGCAGTTCCCCTTTCCCTCCGGGGGGTCTCCATTGTTCTTACGGCCTGGCTCACAATCTGCCCGCACACTCACTTCCTGTTTCCTGGCTGAGAGGAAGCAGAGATTTCTGGCCGGGCAGCAGATGCTGGCCTCTTTCCTTTCTCTCTTTACATTTTTAAGGATATTGAAAAATAATGATACTAACAGGCAACTTTGGAGCTGAGGTCCTGGACGGGGTGGGGGAGGTGCCGGAGACACTTCGGGGCTGCGCACATGGGCTCTGCACTTGGGGTCACGGGCCCCTTGGGAACCTGGTAGGAGCTGCGGACCCCTCCTCCCCGCACCCCGGGGAGGTCCAGCACAAACTGCCCAATTTGGTGGAGTCCAGAGGCCTCCGGCCGCTCCCCAGGGCTCCCAGACCCTCCCTGCCCTGATCTGACACATGGGGAAACTGAGGCAGGGAAGCCTTCCGGCGTCTAATGCCCCTGCCTTCAGTGGCACCCGGCACAACGCTGAAGGAGTCGTGGTGTCCTGGGGAGGGGACCCTTACGCCCCTCCTAGCCACAGGATGACATGCCAGGAGCCTCCCTGGGGGACAGGGACTGGCCACCTGTCCCTCATGGCCGCTGCACCCCTACTCACGCCCCAGGAGAGCTTTGGCCCTGGGTCAGAGGTCAGGCCCTGCCAGGGACCGTCTCTGCGGCCCTGAGAGGTCATTCCTCCATAAAGGGGGTCAGACTCTGGCCCTGAACTCGCAGGGCGGGCGTGAGAGCCCACGAGGAGCCATCTGCACTCAGCATGGTGCCAACGGGCCTCAGTTATCTCTCTGGTCAGCTTCAGAGGGCCTGGCTCCCTCTCTCCCCGATGAGCAGGGCGGCGGGGACAGGATGGCCCCCTCGGGCACCTCCATCAACCCGCCCCCCTTCTCAGGAGCTTCCCTTTCCGTCCCGGGAGATAAAGTGTTTTTTCCTCTCGGCGTTAACGGCCGCCCCATCCGCTGGGCTTGGCAAATTGCAGGCCGACTGTGAGTGGGGCCTCCGTCCAGGGAGCCAGGCGGGGCGGCGGGGGCAAGCCCCCTTCCTCAGCCCGCACGGGGGGGGAGCCCCAGGGGGGTGGGGGCAGCCTCCAGGGCTTGGGGGAGCCTGCACTGGGACAAACCCTGGCCATGGGGCCGAGCACCCCCAAGGTGACCCTCGAGGACCTGGCCGCAGCACTGGGGGGAGGGGGAGGAGGTGGGGGTCTTGGATTCTGCCAGGGGCTCTCCCTGCTCAGCAATCGGCTCCGGCAAGAGTTGGGCCCTGACCACAATGCCCGCCCTGTGAGCCTCTGGGCAGGATCCAGGGCCCACCTCATGGCCATAGTCAGCACCTTGACCCCAGCCTGGCCCACAGCCTTGGCACTAAGGAGGTGAATGATTCCTGCAGGCTCTCGCTAGCGGGAACACAGCCACCGCAGAAATTAGATGGGGGGGACCCCTAAGCTCACTCCCGCTCCCCAGTGCGCGGCCCCTTCTCTCACCACCGCCCAGACCCGCTTAGTGCCTGGGGACACCCGGAGCTCAGCGCCCTGGGGGCCGCGCCGCTCCCCAAGGGTCCTGTGCTTTCGCCCCGCCTCGGTGTCTCCGCTAAGGGTTAGTCTTTCTCCCCACGTTAAAGAAATAACAATCCAGCGATTCCACTGCAAAACCATCAGAATGTGCCAAGAGGCCACGAGGCATGGGGCGCCCGGGGAGCGACATCGAGCCCGGCTGTCCTGCGGGGCGGTCCCTCGTGTTACGTGTCTCCCCGGAACCGCAGGTCCCCCAGGACAGTCCCGGCGACAGGCCCCCAGGAGCCACGCCAAAGGCCAGCACAAACACCACCAACGCAGCAGCGCGGGTGAGAGCCAGGGCCAGCGGTGTGTACGGCCTGCCCTGCTCTCCCCGGGGCACAGGCAGCTGCCCAGAGGACGGGCACGCCGCCCCCGCCAGCCACACAGCAGCACGGACCGCCCGCAGACACGCCACGGAGTGGGGGAGGCCAGACACCGCCGGGGCCCCGCACACGCCGTGGACTTGAAACTCCATGAAAGCAGGCGGAACCACGCTGTGGGCGCCTGGGGTGGACTCGGGGCCCCTCTCCAGGGGTGGTGGTGTCCGCTCCCCGCGGTGCGCATCTCCGCTGCGGGGACGCACATGTGCGTGCCACCGGGGGGGGGTGCCCATCTGGGCGGGCTTGTGATGGGTGGCCAGCATGGCCTCTCCCCGCCCTTTGCGCACCTGCTAGGGGCCAGCTCCGTCCCCGTGTGAGCAGCACAAAGGGCTTGGTCCCGACTGCGCCATGAAGCCTGCTGTTGTCCTTCACAGGATGTCACATGACCTGATGTCACCCTCCACAAAGCTCCCTAAGAACTGGGTTGGGGGACAGGGGTGCCCCGCAGGCCGAGGAGGAGGTCACCCAGGCAAGAGCATGGTGGCCTGGACCACACAGGGGCAGCGGCGGGAGGGACGTGTGCTGGAGGCACAGCCCACGGGGGTCGAGGGGAAACGAGAACAGGGCAAAGGCGGCGTCCTGGGCCTCCCGCCTGAGCAGCGGTGGACGGTCAGCAGGAAGGTTGTCGTGACGGCACAGGCAGTCCCCAGTGAGGCCCCAGGGCGCAGGGAGAAGGGACCAGGCGTCCCCCAGGCCTCCCGCTGCTCAGGCACCCCTGGGCTCCACATGCAGGGCTTGCGTTTCCCAACGGCTGACCCTGTGTGCCTCCAATGCATCATCTGAAGGCTATGTCGTGAGTGCCACGCATGGCGCCTGGCACGGGCTCTTCCAGCAGGCATGCTGAGTGGGGGCCGGGGGGCAGGCGGTGGAGACAGACACTGAAGACCCAGGCTCCCTAGAAAACCTCGGGTTCCCTTTGAGACCTCGCCCAACTCAGGTGTAGACAGCTCACCCGGCCCAGGGGTACCCAGCCCCCACCGGGGACAGGTCACCGGGCCAGCCGCAGCCCAGGCTCAGCACATCTGGAGAGAAGCTGGACCCCGCCGTGGCTGACAGGGCCACCCCATCCCGAGGCCAGTGGCTGCTCCGGGGGTAAACAGGAAGCCCCATCTCTCCTCTCCTCTCCTCTGCGCTCTGCTCTCTCCTTCCTGCAGCCCAGCTCACACGCCTCGCCTGGCGCCCCTCTGCCTCAAGCCGCCCGAGATGCCTATGCCGGCCTCCGCTGGGGGCTCGGTCTACCTTCTCCGGGGGCTGCAGAGACCAAAAGCTCAGTGGTGAGGGGTCCCAAGAGACCCTGGCTGACCTCTGCCACGCCCCACTGCCTGGCCGGCACGCTCAGGGAAGGTAAGGGAGCAAGACCCCTTTACAATCAACCAGAACATTCAGACAGGCCGGGAGGCAGCTTCGAGGATCCGGCTCTACTGACCGCGGGGTGGATGGGGAAACTGAGGCCCAGGGTCCCCAGCAACGGAAAGCAAGTTTTCTCCAGCCTTGGACGCTGTGCCGGAAGCCAGCCAGGCTCCAGGCCCAGGCCCCTGAGCTGCCCAGGTATTGCCCGAGGCCCACCCTGCCCGGGTAAGGGAACACCGACTCCTTTCAAAGAGGACTCCCTGAGTCTACACAGGTGCCGTCAGAGGTGGGAGGAGAGGCTGCCTGGGACGGGGCAGGGGTCCCAGCATCTCTCCGGGAGGCCTCCGTCCACCCATCCGTCACCCTGGGGCGGCCGTGGGGCGGAAGGCACCCCTCACGCTCTCCAGGCCCCGGGACCTCCTGGAGCCCACCCGCCCGCCCCTTCCCTCCCTGCCCCTAGCGGGCCGGTCTAGGGCAGGACCCTAGTCCTCCTTCATCTGCTCCTGGGGCTCCGGGAACCTGGGCGCGGAGAGCGCGGCGGGGCTCACAGGGTGAGCCAGGGCGAGGCTGGTCCCTCGGCACCCGGACCCAAGGCCTCCCTTCCTTGGATTGGTTCTGAGCTGGGCTCAGGGAGGGGCGGGAGGCAGGGCAGAGCTGGTCAGGAGGGAGGCTGTGCGTCAGTGGGGGCCACAGAACAGGGGGCAGCAGGCAGAGCCAGGGCCCCACCCCGGCTGGCACCCAGGGGCGGGGGAGGCCCGGCTTTCCTCCCTCTCGCCACGTCTGTGTCGTACCTCTGTGCTCTGTGGCATCCTTCCAGAGAGTTCCCTAACAAGCCCAAGCTTTAAAGGGAGGGCTGAGCCAGTAACCATCCACACGTTTGGCTAGTGAGCTACTCCCAAAGTCAGCACCCCCTTCACCGCCCCCCACGGCAGGGAAGGTCTGAGGACAGGGGCGGCCCCCGTGAGGGAGTGGGGAGGCAGTCGTGGAGAAAAGAAAGGAAGAAGGAAGGGGCCGTCTCAGTCCTGCCCCGTTCCAGCCGGGCTCTGCCTCACTGTTCACCTGGTGCAAGTCTCCTCCTCTCCTGGGCCTCAGTTTCCCCATCTGTACACAAAAGAGGCCAGATGCAGGCAGCCCTGATGTCTGCTGGCTCTCCCGCCCAGGGGTTCGGAGCACATCTCTGGGTGGGAGTCTGGATGCAGTGGGCAGAGGGGGCGGCTCCCGGGATGGGGGCAAGGCTCCCTACACTCTGGGGACTACATTCAGCCACTGCGGGTGACTATGGGGAAGGGACGGGGTGGGGGGGGCAGGGGGGAGGGTTTCGCCTGCCAGCTCCAGCCTCAGGGGGGAGGGGGGGCACCACAGAAAGAGGCCCCCCAGCCCTGTGCCTGCGGCAGACCTGCCCCAGCCGTGGGGGTGGGGAGGAGGCCGGTCACTCTGGGGGAATTTTCCAAGCTGCCCTCCGCCTCCGTCTTGGCCGGGACATCCAGCTGGGGGCTGGAGGGAGGGAAGGGCAAGCAGAGGCGCCCGAGGCCAGAGAAATGAGGGTGTTCCAGGCCATGGGCGGTCAGGGGCCGACCCCGGAGCAGGGCTCGAACCCCCAGGAGAGCCAGGGTTTGGAGTGGCCCTGCGTGATCAGGGACCTTCCACCAACTGTGTGGTCTGCGTGTGCCCTCAGCGGCTGCCCAGCCCCCTTGGGTACCCAGCCACCCACAATCACAGCCTGTGGGTCCCCAGCACCACCTCAACGAGGAAACGGAGTTGGTCCGGGGGGCTGGGGGCCGAACCACCTGGCCAAACTGAGGAAGCACCCCCTTTGGCCGCCTCTCCACCCTCACCCCTCACGCCCCTCAGCCTTCTGGAGGCCGAGGGAGTGAGGAGGGCCGGGGGGCATGCTTTGCCTGCAGCCAAGAGAGGCTCTCTGCGGGCACAGCTCCAGGAGCAGGGGCTCACTGCCCCATGGGTGGTGCTTTCCTGGAGAAGGGCTGAGTCCTTGAGCTGATGACTGTCCCTCCCTGTCACCCCAGAGCCACTCTGGGTCCCCGAGACACATAGAATGGGCTGCTCTCTGACTACCAGCCTACCTTGCCCGTCCCCAGGTCCCCTCTGGCTGGGTCAGGGTCACAGCCCTGACTCCCTCGCTGTGGCGTGCACACCTGGGGTGCAGGTGCGTGCCCTGGGGGAGAGTCCAGGGGCACAGAACAAACAGGCCCTTCTGCGGAGCTGCAGGAATGTGGCCCATGGTCCCACCAGGTGGCTGGGCCCAGGGCCTTCCCAGCCACGTCCTCCATCACACACTGGGACCAGTGGGTCCCAGGGTCACCAGCCGGGCCTGAGGCTGGTCTCTGGCTGCTTCAGAGTTCGAGGTCCCAGGGGACAGCTCCCCCACCCCTGCCCACGGTTCGGCCAGGCCACCCCCTTGACGGCCCCCCGCCCGCCCCTGGGCCTCCTGTTTGTTCGCTGACAGCTCCCTGTTATCAGCGAGGAACACACACAGGAAGTCCGGCCGGGAAGGGCCCATCCCAATCCTGATTTACACGGGATGGAGCATAAAAAGCCGCCCTTCCTCGCCCCGGGAGGAGCGTCCCTGCCCTGAGACGGCTGTCCCACTCGGCCCAGATGGAAGGTCCAGTGCCCGGCCCAGGCGGGCAGCCTCCGGAGGCGCCTCAGGCCGGCAGCACAGGGCTTGGGCGCTCCTCGGGCCCGCGGAGGCAGCCATGGCGGCCACGGCCAAGCCCGGGCCTGGGCAGTATCAGGTACGGCAGGGGTGGCCCGGCGGGCGGTGGGGGGCAGGGAGCGGGCCCCACTGACTGCAGCAGCTGTTGGCGCGGTGTGCCAGCTCTGCACTCTATTCTCCAGCCACCGTCTCCTTTCCTCCCGACCGGGGCCATTCCCAGCACACGGAGGACACTCAAGCCCCTTGGCCCAGGGCACCCGCTGTGGGGTGGCCCAGTCTAGATTGACTCTGCCTCCCCGCCCCCCCCCCCGTTTGAACACTTTGCCCTGGGGGGCCCAGCATCTGCTGTGACTCCTGAGAGGAGAAGCCAAATGCAGCCTGTGGCACCCCCCACTTCTGGCTGTCCTGGAGAAGCCCCCCCCCCACCGCCCCGAGAGCCTGGGGTCCCAGGGGCATCCCCAGGGGTGGGCAAGCACTCCCAAAGCCGGTCGGGGAGGGGAGGCAGAGGGGGTACCGGCCTCACAGGAAGGAGCCCCAAAGCAAAAGTGAACATGGGACCAGAAGGAGCCCCCCACTTCCTGCCAGGCCGGCTTCAGGAGCAGGGCTGGGGTCCTCAGATAGAGGTACAGCCCACGTTCGATCCTAGGGGAGGCTCTGCTCTTCCTCTTCCCCCTCCTCCCCGAGGGCCCGAGGCCCCACCCGAAGACCCCAGCCCACGTGGAGGCCTCTGTGGTCTAGTGGCCCCATCAGCAGGGTGTCTGCCAAACCCCCATTTCTCAGATGAAGAAGCAGAAGATGGGGCCTCAGCCCGGGTTAGCAGTAGAGTGAGGAGCAGCAGACCCAGCCAGGCTGCAGGGGTCAGGGACAGGATAGGGGACAGGGTAGGGGACAGGAAGGTCTCCCCTAGGCCTGGCCCTTAACCCTTTACTGCCAGCGTCTGAGTGAGGGCTGCCCGCCTTGGCTACGGGGGCCAGGAGACCTGAAGGCTTTCGGGGCAGGACCCCTGGTACCCTCTGTATCAGCAGCAGCTGCCCCCGCTGCTCTATCCTCCAGAGGCTTCCAGACGCCAAGGCAGGACTGTCCCCAGGCAGAGGGTGGGAGCCACAGGCAGAGCTCGGAAAGACCCACCTGGCTTCAGCCATCATGGGGGTGGGGATCTGTTACGCCAAATGCAGGCTGAGGCCCCACAGGGGTCGGGAGCCTGGCCCCCTTCCCAGTCCCTGGACATGAGGGGGGCCAGGGCTGCTCGCTAACCCACACTGTGTCTCTGACCCGCAGACCCCAGCACGAGGGGAGCACCGGCAGCCCCCACCCCCCGAAGAGCAGCTGCCACCCGCGCCAGGGGGGTGACGGGGCCCCTCCTGCAGGTGAGTCCAGAGCAAGCTCTGGGCAGAGCAGGGGTCTGGCTGTGCCTGGGAATGTTTTACACACACACGCACTTGGGTGACCTGGGCCCGGCTCTGCTTCAAGCGCCCCCGCACCGCCCCTCAAACGTGACATGGCGGTGATCACCCTGGTTGGGAGATGACCCAGATGATACCAGAGCTCCCACGCGGGGCATGCCTAGCCTGGTGCCGGCTGTGTGAGCCACCTCTCCGGCTGAGCGCTGCTGCCCCTTGGGGCTGCTTTAGTCGTCATTACAAATGCAGAAATGGAGCCCAGGAGTCCCCGGTGGTGACCATGGGGTTCAGGCGGTGGGGCGTCCTGGGGGCCTGAGGATCACTCAGGGGTGGTCCTGCTGCCCTGAACAGAGGGGGGTGCCCAGTGGGGGTCCCGCAGCGCCCCTAACCCGGCACGCTGTTTGGAAGCGTCGCTCAATGCTACACTTCGGATCCAGCCAGGCTCCGCCACAGTTTGTGTGCTCTCGTCTAAGTACGGGGGCTCCAGGCCACCGGGGCCATGAGGTCCACCCCACATGTGGCTGCGAGGCAGTGGCCGGCTTCAGTCAGCCCCCGGTGCCCAATGAGCTGGCCACCGTGTCGTGACGGCCGTCCCCAGGGTCTGGTGCTCAGCCTGCGGGTCGAGGGCTCCCCTCGCGGCCTCCCAGCCGGCGTCGCAGTCCTGCGTCCCCTGCGGCCGCGCGCCCTGCTGCGTGGCCTCGGGGCGGGCTCGGGAGGGGCGGCGCGCCCCGGCGGGTGCGCGTCCAAAGCCCCGGGCTCGGGCTGACTCACCGTCGTGTCCGGGAGAACGCCGTGGCCGCGGGCCTCAGTGTCCCCATCTGCGCAATGGGGGCGGGCGCCGGGACTCGGAGCCCACCCGGGGCGTGCCGGGGGCGGGGTCGGGGCGGGGCGGCGGGCGGGGCTGGGGCCCCTCGGCGCGGCGGCGGCGGCGGCGGCGGCGGCGGCGGCGCGTGCGCGCCCGGCTCGGGCGGTGAGTGCGGAGGGAGCGAGCGCCGGGCCGGGGGGCGCGGGGAGCGCCGAGGGCGGGATCTGCGCGCCGCGCACCCGGGCGGGGGAGGTCGGGGGCCTTGGCGCGCGCGGAGCTGGGGGGCGACGCGGAGCGGCCGCGGGGAGTCGAGAGGTGAGCGGGCCGGGGGCGCCGGGCTGCCGCGCGGGGACACGACCCCCGGCCCTGCCCGGATCCTGCGCCGGGCCCGGAGAATGGGCCCAGCGGCCTCGGGAAAGGGCGCCCCCTGCCGGTAACCGGCGACGAGCCGGGCCGCGCCGGGAGTGGGGGCCGGGGCCGGGGGCGCCGCAGCCCCTCACCCGCGTCTGGGCCCTGAGCGTCCCCCGGGCCTGACTCCGGGCCCCGCAGGCCCCAGACCCCGTGTCTCTGCACCCTCACCCCCACCCCCGCGGATCCGGCGTGCAGGGGGAGGGGGGCCTGGGGCAGGCGGCGCGGAGGACGCTTCCCCAGTGCCCCGGCACCCCGCCTTTGCGCGCTCCCAGGGTCCTAATGTCCCGAGCACCCCTCCCGGTGGAAGGGGGGCCCAGGGCCGTCGCTTTGCGGCGAGCCCGGCCCCTCGGTCTACGGACCCGGCCTTCCCCTGCCCGGGAGGGCTCTGCGGGGTTGCAGGTGGGAGGCGCGGTGCGCTGAGCTCCCGCTGACCCTCAGGGACGGTGGGACGTTATTGCTTCGCAACCTGAGGCGCTGCGGCCACCCCCGCCCTGGCTCCCCGCCCCAGCTGGGCTGTCACCGCGAAGGGAAAAGAGATTCTGCCGGCCTAGCACAGGCCGGGCGGCACCATCGGCCTCCAGCCCGGAGAAAACAGGACTTCAGCACTGACTCTCCTCTTTTAAAGCATGAGCAGGGGAGGTGCTGGGGCGGCTGTCTGTGGGGGGCAGTCACATCTGCAGGCGGTGAGCCCCCCCCACCAGCATGGGGAGCACAGGGTCTGCGGTCGCCGGGTGTGCTCCTGCCCCGCCCCCCCCCCAGCCCTCGGCCCCACCTCTGCCTTCCCAGGGCCTGCTCCCCAATGCCACCTGTTCCCATCCTTTCAGGGCTGGCCTAGACCCCCGGGAGCGCCCCTGAAGGATGTGCTGAGCTCCCCCTGCCCCGGGGTCCGCTCCCGAGCACTGCCCACAGACTGCCCAGGAGCACCCACAGCCCCCCAACCCAAGTCCAGCACCTCAGCGTCCCCCTGCCCCCTCCTGGCCACCGACCAAGAACAGGGGTGCAGGAAGGAAGGACTCTGGTCGGGCGTCTCCCCACCGCACATGGGTCCATGGGATGCAGGGGTCCCAAGCACCGGCCCCCCTCCCAGCCGACTGTGCAGACCAGCCGTGGTATCGCTCTCCCCTCGGGCTCGGGCTCTGCAGGCCTCCCTCTGCGTGGGACCAGCTGTCAGAGCTGGAGGGGCCTCTGAGACCCTCGTGTCTTTGAGGAGCCCAGTCCCAGACAAGGGGGCGACCCTACCCCGCTTCTGCCTCCGGCCCCACACAAGTTCAGCCTTTTCCGATGTGCTTTCCTGCTGCCCACCTGGGCGGAACCCAGCCCCCCGGGGGCCTCGGGTGGGGTGCCAGGAGCATGGGGGGCAGGGGACGCTGCCCAGATGCTTGGCTGCACACGTGGACAGGGCCCACCAGGCCGCACGGCACCCTCAGCGTGTTGCAGGCCTGTAATCCTGGGCTGGGGTCTCTCCCATTCCCAGGCAGGCTCTCTCAGCCTCCCTGGCTTCCATCCACAGCAGGCAGGGATGGCATCTGGCTCCACTGGCGTGTGGGGAGGGCTGCTCCAGTGCGTCCCCCACCAGCTGTCCTGGGAGCCCTGGGCCAGAGCAGTCAGACCCCAGTGTAGGGGTGACCCCCTCCTAAATGCAGGCTCTGCCCTGTTCTGAGAAGGACCATATGGCTCCCGCGTGCTGGGCGCCTGCACCCCTCATCGACTCCAGTGCCTTCCCACGGCTCACTCCCCATTTGGCAGATGAGGACACTGAAGGCCGGAGGGCCACGCCAGCTGGATCCGGTTCCCACTCTGCCCACTAACACCTCGTCTGCAAAATGAGACGGAGGGCACTCAATCCAGCCAGGGCGTTAGCGCTGGTCCAGAGCCCCCCCGGGCCCCCCTTCCCAAGAGAACTCTGCCGGGACTGCGGACACCTTCAGGGTTCACCCAGGCCAACGTGCCTCTGGCCCCCCGCGAGGGTGCCCGCTTCCGGTCCTGGGCCCCTGTGACTGGCAGAGGGCCGGCCTCACTTGCTGAGACAGGCTAGGGGAGGGCAGAGCTGGCTCTGACCTCGGGGCTCTCCTCCCGGCAAAGCGGCTGAGCGGCTGAGCGGGGCGGCACCCTCAGGGAGCAGGGGCCCCTGGAGGCGCGGGCTGGAGGAGGGGTCCTCAGAGGGATTTAGCGGGTGTCCCTTGTGCTCCAGGCCCCCGTCAGGAGAAGGCTGACCCGCTGGGAAACGCAGGCCATGTGTGACTCCAGGGAGCTGCTTCTGGTGTGGCTCCTGGTGCTGGCAGTGGGTGGCACTGAGCACGTCTTCCGGCCTGGGTGAGTTGGGTCTCTGGCCCCTGCGGCGCTGGTGGGGGGGGGCAGCCAGGAGCCCTCAGCCCCCCCCAGGGCCACCCCTGATACTTGGAGGAGCCGCGGCTCTTCCTAGGGGCTCGCGGAGCGTCTCCCTGTGGTGAGGCTGGGAAGCTCCTTCCCCAGAGTGATGCGCCGCTTCTCCCCCCGGCTCCACAGCCGCAGGGTGTGCACTGTCGGGGCTCCCAGGGGCCCCGAGTCCGAGTCATTTGTGCAGCGAGTGTACCAGCCCTACCTCACCACCTGTGACGGGCACCGAGCCTGCAGCACCTACCGGTGAGTGCCGCCTGCCCCCCGCAGAGCCCCGTCTGCCACACTTAACGCCTGAGGCCCAGGAGGGCAGATCGCCCCAAGATCGGAAACCCGGGCCCAGAGTGGTCAAAGGACTCGCGAGGCCACATTGAGTGGGTGGCAGAGGCCCGTGTCCGTGTTGACTTAGGCAGAAGTCCCAGGCTGTGACAAGCTCAGCCGTCGTTCCTGCCCGGCTCCCCGCCCTCGTCTCTGGAGGGGCCCCCGTCTTCCCTGCTCCTCTCTACTTTGGGCTCCTGACGTTGCTGGCTGCAAGTTCTTATCCACTTGAGATGATGCCTGCCTCCCTGAACCCTGCCTCCGAGCCCCAGTGGGTTCCCCTCTCCCCGCGACGGCCTGATGGTCACAGCCCCCCACAGCTAGGATACCCCGGACCGCCTCCCTCCCCGCCAGCATGAGGGGGCGTGTCCCTAGCTGGGAACCTGGCTTAAAAAAGATTTTGTTTTCTGCGGGGTTCTCAAAGACCTGCCTGTGGGATGTCCCTGCACCCCCAGCTGGCCAAGAGGGTGAGGGCCTGCCCTCTGCACCTGCCAATGAGGAGGCCGGCCACGGAGGGGCTGGCAAAGCCTCCCTCGGGAGCCCCCCTTCCTGGCTGGGGGGGCAGGGGGCTGGGTGTCCGGGATCCCGAGGCTGCCAGTGGCTCCTGCACTGGTGGTTTGAGCAGTGTGGGCACGGGAGGGCGCCCTCAGCGCCCAGGGGCCCCGCACCCAGGGAGGGAAGGCCGGCGAAGTGCTGGGAAGACCAGTGGGCTCCGCTGACACCTCGCTGCCCCCGCACACGCTGCAGTACCGTCTACAGGACTGCCTACCGCCGCAGCCCCAGCCCGGCCTCCACCAGGCCTCGCTACGCCTGCTGCCCCGGCTGGAAGAGGAGCAGCGGGCTCCCCAGGGCCTGTGGAGCAGGTGAGGGGTGCGGGGCCTTCCCAGGGGCCCCACAGCACCTGGGCAGCCAGTTAGTTGTCGCCCGGTTGTGCCGCGTCCCGTACCCTCTCCAGACCCCCGGGCAGAGCCCTGCTGCTGTTGCCTGAGTGGAGCGCCCCTTCCCCCGCTGCTGCCCCTGCAGGGCCCTGGGCGCCCCCCCAGTGTGTGACAGGCCTCTTCCTCAACAGCAATATGCCAGCCCCCGTGCCAGAACGGAGGGAGCTGTGTCCGGCCGGGCCTCTGCCACTGCCCTGCAGGGTGGCACGGCGACACCTGCCAGACAGGTGAGGCTGGTTCTGCCCCCCGAGGGGAGGGGTCCCGCGGGCGGCGCCCTGGGCAGCCTGCTGACGGGCAGGCGTTGAGGGCCTCCGTGTGGATGCTTCCCGCCCCCCCCCCCCCCCCCCCCCCCCCCCCCCCCCCCCCCAGACGTGGATGAATGCAGTGCCGGCCGGGGCCCCTGCCCTCAGCGCTGCATCAACACCGCGGGCAGCTACTGGTGCCTGTGTCAGGAGGGGCACAGCCCGTCCGCGGATGGTGCGCTCTGCCTGCCCAAGAGAGGGACCCCCAGGGTAGCCCCGAACCCCACAACAGGTAAAGCTCCCGTCCTTGCTGCTGTGCGGGGAGGAGGGACGGGGAGGCCCAGAGGACGGGCCAGGCGCCACCCTGCAGGCTGGGCACTGCGGGGGCAGCGGGGGGCAACCAGCCCTTGGCGGCAGGCCGTCTCTCTGACCTGGGCAAAGCGGGGGTCTTCCCCAGGGGAAAGGTGGGTGGCAGTTTCCTGGGTGCATTGTGGGACAGGTTGCCTAGAGGGGCCTCATCTCGGCCAAGAGAGTGGAAGAAGGCTCCCACGCCGGGCCTTCTCCGTGGCCCCAGCCCGGGCGGCCAGGACACACCACACCCCGCTGCCGACGGTACATTATTACTTTTGGTACGCGCTGTGACACTTCAAACTCGTACCGTGAGTAATAATGCGCTGTCGGCAGCCCGGCACCAGGAGCGCGCGTGGACCTCGGCTTGGACGGCTCGGCACCGCGGGGACCCCGGCGCTGCGGGGCGGGGGTGGGGTGCATCGCGATCTCCGGGCCGGCCTGGGCGCCTACCATAGGGGTAGGCTCACTACGACAGCGGGGCCCGTGGCCGCTCGGGCTTGAGCCCCCATCTCCAGAGCCGTGCCCCACGCTCAGCAGAGGCTGAGAGGCCTCCCGACGGAGATGAGAAGCCGGTGTGGGGGCGGGGCCCGAGGCCGGGCCTGCGCGACTCACCACTGGGAACCCCCAGGAACCAACCACGCGGTAGAGGAGGAGGTGCAGAGGCTTCGGTCGAGGGTGGACGTGCTGGAGCAGGTGAGGCCTGGCTGGGAACCCCCCATTGTCTCCCGTGTGGATCAGGCCCTCAGGGTGGTTGTGGGGCCCAGTGGGGGTGGGCCTGGGAAGGAGGCCTCCGGGTGCTGACAGCCCAGCCCGGGCAGGGGTAGCAGGCTGAGGTTCGGCAGCCCCAGGAGAGTTGGGGCCAGGCTTGGACACACCCCCTTGGGCAGCACAGAGAGCCTCAGCCCAGGTCCACGCCTCCCTTTGTCCCTGCGGTCTTTCCGTGGGACTGTTGGCTTGATGACCCCTTGAAAGCTCTGGTCCTCCCCTCCTAGCTGCCCTGACCCGGGTCCCAGTCACTGGACTGGCCCGTGTGGTGTCCCCCGGTGCCCCCCTGCCTGGCTCTCCGGGCCCAGAAGCTCCCTCTGGTGAACGAGCCAGGTCTGGACGTCGGTAGGCGTCCAGTGCTCCCTAAAAGCCTGGTGGAACAGAGGGTGCCTTCTACCTGCCCCACAGAAGCTGCAGCTGGTGCTGGCCCCGCTGCATAGCTTGGCCTCGAGGGCCCTGGAGCACGGGCTCCCCGACCCCGGCAGCCTCCTGGCCCACTCCTTCCAGCAGCTGGACCGCATCGACTCTCTGAGTGAGCAGATCTCCTTCCTGGAGGAGCAGCTGGGCTCCTGTGAGTGCTGGGGTCCCCACCTGCGGAGCCTGAGGGCTCTGGGGCTGAGGCCAGAGGGCTGACCTGCCTGGCGGGGAAGGTGGGGCGCACTGACCTCTGACCTCAGCCCTTCACCCGTCCACAGGTTCCTGCAAGAAGGAGCTGTGACAGGTCCCCAGCCTGCCGCCACGGTGCGGGGTGGGGCGGGAGGGGTCCTCCTGGTTAGGAATCTAGCTCCCGCCCGGCCAGCACTCCTGCACCCCCACCAGGGGCCCGTGGCCGAGGGAAGGTACGAGGGTCTCGGTCTCTGGGCGCCTCTGACCTGTGTCAGAATAAAATGAAGGTTCAGGAGCTACTGTGTCCTGGTGGACTGTGGAGGGCACTCTGAAGCCACCTGGGCGGGGGGGGCACCTGCTGGCTGCTGGGAGGGAAAAGGGGGCAGCCGTGGGGCAGGGCAGGGGGCTCCAGCCACACAGGGCCCTCCTCCAGAGGGTCGCGGTCCTCCCTCTGCAGGAGGGACTGGAGCAGGTAGTTTCTGGGGAGATGAACCTGGCCCCCGGCTTTACCCCCAGCCAGCAGCCAAAGAGCAAGTCTTCAGCCTCCTTCCCTAGACCCCCAGGATGCCCACCGCCCGATCGGGTGGACGTCCCCACCCACGGAGAACACTACTGCAGGATGACTGTGGGCCTGGCCCCTGGGGGGGGGGGGGAGCGTCAGAGGCTCCCACACCACGCGCACAGGAGGCAGCAAGGGCAGCCTTGAGGGCTGTGGCATCCCGCCCGCCCCCCGAGTGATCACAAATCACCAGCACTTCCCAGATTCCTTTTATAAAAAACAACGGAATGCAGTGCCCGGTCGGCGGTCTTGCTCCCTGAGGCCAGCAGAGCAAGGACCCCTGCTTTCTGGCTCTCCCTGAGGCCCTGGACGCACAGGACTGGGTGCCTGGCCCCCACTCCTGGAGGGCCTGGAAGGCCACGCCCTACCCTGTACCCCGCTGGCCCGGGCAGCAGGGTGAAGGGTCTCGGCTCTGGCTGTCTGCCCTGCGGCTGTCAGCCCGTCTGGGCCTGAACCCACTCCCGGGTCCTGGAGACACAGCGGGGGCTCTGAGGAGGCTCCAGCGGACTCTCCTTTTAGGGAACATCGGAGGCCTGGATCCGAGGCTGGTGACAGGAAGCAGTGTCCTGCATCTGGGGCCCGAATGAAAGTGGGAGACCCAGGCAGGAGCAGGACACAGTGACATTTAGCAGCTGGGGCGGGGGAGGAGGTCCCTCGGTCAGGTCTGCAGTCAGGCCCCGCCCCCTGGCCCGCCCCGTCCGGCCGCCAGGTCCTGCCCCACGTCGGCTAGCGGGTGGGCTGGGAAGCAGGCCCCGCCGTGGCCCCGTTCTCCTGGGGCGTCTTGGAGATGCGGAGGAAGGTGGTCCTCATGACCTGGTGGCAGGTATCCATAAGCTTGGGGACATCAGCGACAGTGAGGCCACTGGTGGGGATGGCATCCAGCACCTCCACCTTGATCGTTCCTGTTGGGAGCAGGGACATCAGTGGCCCGGGTGCCCCACCGGTGCCGCGGCCTCTCCTTGCTCTGGGGTCACCCAAACCCCTTCCTCCTGCTCCCCGGTCACCTGCTGGCCTTCCCTGGGGGCCTCCCAAGGGTCCTGCCAGGCTGGGCTCTTTCCTGGACACCCTGCTCTCGGGGAGGTTGGTTTTAAACTCAAACACGAAACATGAAGCTCCAAGGTCCGCGCTCCTTAGGTTCTGATGACCGCACACACCCCTGCCCCACCCTCCCGGGCACCCCACACCCGCCATCACACTTCCATCCTCCGTGATGGTTCAGGTGGCCCCGGGTCCCAGTTCTGGGGGCAGGACACGCTTGGCTCCTCCCCCCACTGCCCTTCTACCTTTGACCCCACCTTCTCACCCAGGCACCGGCTGCCCACATGCAGGGTCTGGGAGGAAGGGTAGCGGCCCTGAGCTCTATGGCTGGTGGGCGCGGGGGTACCTGGGAGGCTGCTGCTCAGCCTGGGCCTACGTGTGTGGACTCAGGCACCTACCCCACCCTCGGCCAGCCTCTGTTTCTTCATCTGGGAAAAGGGCCCACTACTGGCCAGCTCGGCTCATGGCTGGGATTCCAGACTCTGGTTAGGCTTCTTTCACTCACCAAATGATCACGAAGGGGCAAAGTCTGGCCTATAAGAACCTCCCAGAGACGGGAACCGTTCCAACGGGGGCCTGGGTGTCCTAGTGACTGAGGACAACACATACGCCCACGTGTGCGCACTGGGGGCGGGGCGGGGCAGGGCCTACCTGCGGTGAAGAGCTTTGCCTTTTGGTTGTAGAAGGAGGAGAAGCTGGAGTAAACCACGGGGATGACAGGCACCTGTGGACAGGACACCGCGGTGCCTGAGGACACGCTGGAGCCAGCCCCCAGCCCACCCTGAGCCCCGACGATGAACTAGTGGGGGGCTCCCTGCCTTGCTACCCGCTTGCCTTCTGCCTGAGGAGGTCCTGGAAGTGCCTGTGGCCGCAGGACAAGCATGCTGACCTGCCTCAGGGCCCTTCCACACACTGACCCGTGGGCCAGGGTGGCCCAGAGTTCCATAAACCATCCTACACGTCTTCACTCAAGCATCCCCTCCACCAGGAAGCCTCCTGGGCTGGCACATGTCCATAGGATTCATGTTTGTGCCCCCACTGGGTCCTGATTGACCGGGGTCGGGGGATCAGGGCTGGGTCCAGTAGAGGTCTCTGTGCCCACCCCTCCCCCATCTCGGGGTGGCCGGGGGCGGCTCTAGCCAGGGCATGGGGCAGGGCCTCCGGGTATTCCTGGAAGACGCCAGGGTCACAATCGGCACATGGGGGTAATCATTAACCCCGGCACCAGCAGGGGTGCGGGCTTGGAGGCCACAGTCTGCTAGGCCCCGCAGGGCAGATGGGGGGAAGGGGAAGGGAGAGGACGGCGAAGATGCCTACTCTCCTGGCTGAGGCTGCCCCGCCCCAGCCCTGCCACACCAGTGTCCCCTCCCTCCTCTCCCACCGTCCCTCTCTCCCATGCCCCCAGCCAAGGGAAGTGACATCGGCCCCAGGCGTGTGGCAGGGGTGCCTGCCGCCTCCCAGCTGGGCTTCAGGGCTTGAGAGAGCCTTGCCAAGGCATTGCCAGGCTCAGAGCCCAGGACCCTCCACCCCACGCACCCACTGCATCCGGCATGTGAGTGGGGAGCCCTTGCAGGGAGGGCTCACCTGGCCTTGCTCAGGGCCAGACACCAGGGGGCGCCAGAGGCCCCCTGCCGCAGGTGGCGTCCCCAGGAGCAGACCCCTGCCCAGCCACCTCCCAGACCCCACTGGGCAGGAGGAGAGCCTCTTCCCCTGACCTTGGACGATGGCTTTCCCCTATGTGAACTCCCCCGACGGCATGGGACAGGGTGCCCGTTACCAACCAGGAGACCCTGCCCCGTGGACGGATGCACCCCCAGGGCTCCCGACATCCTCCTAAGCTCCTCTCGGACAGACTGAGCTTTGGAGCAAAGCACAGCGGCAGAGCTTGCAGCGGGCTCTCTCCGGGCCCTGCCCAGCCCTGCCCCTCCGGACCCACTGGCGCCCCCGAACCCCGCCCCGGCCAGCGGTCCTGCGGGACTGAAGAAGCACGGCCGCCTCTGCCTTCCACGCCGACCCCAGCCTCCCTGCGGGGGCCCCTTGCCCTGCCAGCGCCACACAGGTGCTGGAGCTCCAGGCACGGGCACCCCGGTGACGAGTGTGAGTCCCACGGCTCACTGGACTCGATCACACACCAGCCCTAGTGCTCAGAGTGAATGAAGAGGCCAGAGGAACTGCCCTCCTTCACAAGTCAGGAAGCAGCGGCCCCCAGCCCGGCCAGGCGGTCACCTTCGGCCTTAAGCCAACCTGGACCCGCCTCCCTGCCTCCCGGGGAGGGCGGAGCCCAGGCCCACCTGGGTCTGGATCGCCAGGTAGAAGGCACCCTTCTTGAAAGGCAGCAGGTCCCCATTGTCGTTCCTCGTGCCCTCAGGGTAGATCCACACCTTGAGCTGCAGGGGGAGAGGAGGCAGCTGGGGCGGGGCCTCGCCTGGGCCGCCTGGCAGGAGACAACGCGGCGGCGGCGGCGGCGGCGTGAGCTCCCAGCAGCCCCGGCCCTCACTCACGTTGTCCCTGACCATGCGCTGGCCCACTTCGGTCATCACCGTCATGGCGGTCCTGGAGCGCTGCCGGTTGATGAAGAAGACACCCCCGAGGTACATGATGAGCCCCACGGGCCCCATGAAGAGCAGCTCCCGCTTGGCGATCTGCACGCAGCGCTGGGGCAGGGCCTCCATAAGGCCTGCGGTGGCCACGGGACAGCAGGCGGGTGGAGGCCGCGCTCAGAGCCTGGCAGCCACCTTCCCCCACGGAGGGGGGAACCGGCCCCGCGCCCCGGCCACCACCAGGCCTGGGTCGGTCATGCCTTCCCACCGGCTACCGGGCCAAGTCATTTGGCCTCTCAGCCTGCTTCCTGCCTGCAAAGGGAGGGAGCGAAGCAGAGCCCCCAGCTGGCGGTGCCCTGTAGGCAGCTGTCATGTGGCTGCAGGAAGGCACGGGCCCCCGGGCCTGGACCACACCCCGCGCCTGCCGGCTCATCCGGGCCCGGGCTCCACCGCCCTGAAGCATCCCCCACCACCCAGGCTGGGCCTGCAGCCGGGAAGGGCCAGCTCCCCAACCAGCCCCTCGGCAGCCCCGCCTTACCCATCATGTCCAGGATGCTCTGGTGGTTAGAAATGATGACACACGGGTGGTCCACCTCCAGCTTCTGACGCCCCTTTATCTCAAAGCGAATGCCGAACGCGTACTTGAAGCTCCGGACAAACCAACTGATGATGCTAAAGAGAGAGACAGCGTCAGTGAGCAGGGCCCCCGCTTGCCCACTCGCCCGACTGGGGACGGCAATGCAGCGGATGGGCCCCGGCTTGCCCTCCGGCAAAGGGGAGGGTGTTCACTTCCACATCTGCTGTCCAGGGTCCTGCCCTCACCCCCACATCCCTGCTTGCTCAGCTGGAAGGGGGCTGGAGGCGGGCCGGAGGCTGAGAGCCCTCAGGGTCAAAGTGGGTCTGGTCCTTGGCTGTGTCAGAGACTAAAAACCCAAGATGGAGGGGCGCCCGGCTGGCTCAGTTGGTGGAACGGGCCACTCTTGATCTCAGGGTTGTGGGTTCAAGCCCCATGCCGGATGTAGAGATTACTTATAAAATTTAAAAATAATAATTATAGGGGCGCCTGTGCGGCTTAGTTGGTTAAGTGTCCGGCTTTGGCTCAGGTCATGATCTCACAGTTCATGAGTTAAAGCTCCGCGTCAGGCTCTGTGCTGACAGCCCGAAGCCTAGAGCCTGTTCCAGATTCTGTGTCTCTTCTCTGCCCTTCCCCTGCTCACGCTCTGTCTTTTGCTCTCGAAGGTAAATAAGCATCAAAAAAATATTTTTTAATAGTAATAAATAATAAAAACCCGACGCAGAGAGAGGTCCCCACACCCCTGCAGAGGAGGCGGCCCCCACCCACACGCTCTGGGGAAGGAGACCCAGCCTGGAGAAGCGGCCCTCCCCTCAGGGCGCTGCCACACCAGGAAGAAGGCATGCGCCACGTGGAGACTTTGCAGGGTCTGAACACTGCTTCCTGTCCCTGCTGCCGGGACGTGGCCGGGCTTGGCTTCCCCCCTCAGCCCGTCCTCGTGAGCAAGCCCACCGCCCTCTCTGCACAGGGGAAGCCACAGGCTTTCAGAGCCTCAATCTCCGCCCGAGGTCACAGGCGAGAGAGGGAGGGAGCCAGGATGCGTGTGGGCCTGGGGCTCCCCGGGTTCCTGCGGGCGGGTGCCCCAGAGCATCGGGGACCTTCAGGGGCTACGCCCAAGCAGCACGTGGTGGGCATGAGTGGCTACGTCCGTGGGGATGAGTGTGCAGGTGCTGGCTGGCCTTGGAGAGCACAGGGACAGGAAGAGAGGCCTGGGACGCTCTGCTTATACCCCAGAAGGGACCCGTAAGGGGTCCTCGGGGTGACGGAGCCCAAGGCATGAGGCTCCCTGCTCTGCCAGCTCCCTGCAGGGACCCTGTGGGGGGCCGGGGACTGAAGATGGGCCCCCATTGACCCACAGGTTCCTGACCCAGAGTGTCCCCTTCTCCCAGAAGGTTCAGGAACCTCCCAGCCCCCAGGTAGTTGATCCCATCAACAGTCTTAATGGGAAGGAGGGATTTCCCGCTTTGTATGGGAGGGTAAAGTCACGGCCCAAGGCCCAGGGATGGCGCTCAGTAGAGCAGAGACTCAGCACTGGCTCAAAGCCAGACTCTGGTTTTCCAAATTGTCATAAAATACACGTGACCTAAAATGTGCCACCTCTACTGCTGTTAGGGACACACAGCCCAGCGGCATCACACACACTGTTGGGCAACCGTGCCCTCCATCCGTCCCCAGGATGTTCCCACCTTCCCAGACCCCACTCCATCCCACTGGACGCAGGCCCTCCCCTCCCCCCACTCCCCCCACCCCGTGTCTGTGGGTCCGACTCCTCTAGGACCCTCCTGTGAGCGGAGCTTCAGGGCTGCTGGAGCGTCTGCAAGCCAGTCTCCACCCGGCTGCCCCTTCCACAGGACGGAACTCCCGTGGAAGGGTGGCTCTCCAGTCACCCCGTGTTGCAGATGGGGACACTGAGGCCCAGGGAGACGCAGCAGCTACCGTGAGGCTGCTCGGACCATTAGCCCAGCTCCCTCCCCGGCTCTGCCAGCCTCAGCCAGCTCAGGCCACCTGCCCAGAGGTCCCTTCCCGCTCCGGGGCAGCGCTGAGCAGGACTGTGCTCCTCCTCTGGCCGCAATTTCTCATCTACAAAGACCCCTTCTCGGTCACCATTAGGACCGAGGGGACAAGGAGGGGTCGCAAGCAGGTGCTTCGCAAAGACCGGAAATGTCCACTCGCAATCAGAGGGAAGTACATGTGGGCCAGAACCCTGTCCGCATCCCTCACATCAGCGGGCAGGGTGCCGGCACCGCAGAGCCCCGAGGGCAGGCTGGCACCACCGCGCAACGACGCCGGGCAACCAGGCCCCTGTCCCAGGATCCGGTCCTGCACCCCCTCCAGGCTGGTCTGAATTAGAAAAATCTGCAGCTGCCCAGGTGTGTCCCCCCACCTCCAGGGCGGGGGGAAGTGCCGGTAGATTCTAGATTCGCAGTGCACTGGGCGGAGCTGGCGAAAGCCGCGTTCACGCGGGAACGCCCCTTGCCGGCTGCAGACGGTCAGGGGCCACGCCTGAAGTGGACGGCGTTCTCTCTGGGAGAGCCATTTGCCGGCTTCTCCCTCCCTTTCTTTGTATCTCTCTCTCTTTTTCTTTAAAAGTGGTGGTAAAATATACATAACATCTACCATCTTAACCATTCTTAAACGTCCAGTTCAGGGGCATTAATACACCCTACACTGATGTGTGGCCACCTTGTCTGTCTCCAGGACCTTCTCTCTGGTTCCTGTTAGGATTTCTTTTCTGTATCCAGTGGAAGAGATGGGCTGTGGACTGGTTTTTCCAGAACTGTGGAGAATACCGCATATGGACCTCAGGCAGTGGCAGCAGTGGGTGTGGGGGGGAGGAGGGCCCAGGGACAGTGTGCTCTGTGCTCGCACGCGCGCACACACACACACCAACACACACACAGCAGCTGCTGTGACCCCGGCAGGCTGCCACAGCAAGGTGCATGCTGGGATTGGAGAAGGCACCGGTGGTATGTCCCCAGGGGACAAAGCGTTCTCTGCAGGCAGTGCGCCCACCTCTCCCCTTCCTGATGTCACAAGGTTCCAAGACTCGTAAAAGTGGTGAGCGAGGCGAACATTTTAAGTTTCTCAATGCATAAGGAAGCACAGAGGGGACGGGACGCTTCTGGGTGCCCCCAGCGTGCCTCCAGGGAGAGAAAGCGCGGCTCCTCGCCCAACGGGCAGGTGGCAGTGCCCCTCCCCCACACCTGACACCTGGGCAGCACCTGCTGTGTGCAGAGCACCGTGCAAGAGCGTGATGCAACCTTCGCGTCTCGTTCGCACAATAACCCCACACAGTGGGCGCTCCCAATGGCCTCCACCCACAGATGAGGGAGTCCAGGCTCAGCAGTGAAGCGACTTGCCCAAGGTCACACAGCAGGGACCCCAGGATGGGCTGGGACTCGCTCCAAACCTGGTTTTCGGAAAACAAGCGGAAAATGCCAGGGAAGGGCAAGCTGGAGGTGGGGGGATGATCTGGGATTGCAAGATGGAATTCCAGAATTCCAAAAGCTCTTTTGGAGGCTTCCCTCCCTTCCCCGAGGCTCTGTAGACACCGCCCATCGCCCAAAGCCCACGGGAGCGGAGCCACCAAGCAGGAAGTGACGCTATCCCCTCTCAGCCAGCCCGAGGCAGCCACCAGCGTCCTGAGCACCAGCCCCACAGCCCACCTTATCTGAGCGCCCTGCCAGCAGCCACAGGGAGTACGGGGGGGGGGGGGGGGGGCACCTTCTCAGGAGCCGGGAGTCACTGGTGCTGGCCCGGGGACAGGGCCACACCACTGTGGCTGCTGTTCTACCTCCCTGGCCCCCAAGTCCATGATCCCACCCCTCAGGTGGAGCCCAAGTGGCCTGGGGGTGGGCTGAGCGCCTGGCACAGCATTCCAGAAACTCCGCTGCCCGCTGCCACGTGGGTGACAGGTGCCATCTTTCCACCTCCTGGCACGTGGCCCCCCCGGAGCAGGACCGTTCCTCGAGCACATGGGCTGTCCTGGCCCTTGGTGGATCTTTCTCAGGAGCCTTCTACTTAACCTGGCCTTGAACCCCCTAGAAGCTCTGAGCACTATGAACGCCGCAGATCCTTTCCAGGGCCCCAGGGAGCCCAGGCTCCTTCTGCACTTGGCCTGAGGACACCTTCCCAAGCTCTAGGTGAGCCAGGCCCGGATCCTCCTCCCTAGCTGTGATCTTGGACAATGCACTTGACCTCACTAACCTTCCGTGTCTGCCTGTGAAAGGGGAAAGGTGTGGACATTGAGCCGATGAGGCTGGGACCCCAGGAGCACCTGAAACAGGGGTGTCCCGAGTGGATAAAAAGAATCCAAAGTAGCTGAGAGTGAGAGCCCCTGCCCCTCCCCCGCCAGCACGCGCTCCACAGCTGGAGGGAAGTTCAAGGCCAGCCCCAGGCCACCGGCTGACCTGTGCCCTCGGCCCTTGGACTTGGGCTAGGGTGCTCGCGGGAGGTCTGGGCAGCTGTTTCAGCGGAGGCGCGCCAGTCCTCAGCCAGACCCCTCTGGGTTTGCCCCCAGGAGCAAGGTCTCCATCGATCTGCTCAGGGGACAGGAGGCTCCAGAGAGGCCACCTGGTGGAGCAGGGGTGTTTTCCGCGAGTCTTAAGAGGTGGAGCATAAGGAGGGGACAGGAGCCGGGGGGGGGGGGGGGGGGGGGGGGGTTCCAGCCTGTGCAGGAGGAAGCCCACAGGTGTCGGGAGGCGCGGGCACGGGCGGGAATGGGGTGCACACCAGGGGGCCGGAAGGAGGTGGGTCCAGCAAACTGTCAGTCACAACGCAGGGGCTCTGAGGAGCGCATCTGGGGGAAGACACTGCCCCTGGCCGTCCTACCCCAAGCAAAACAAAGGCAGGCTTTCCTGCAAAACCAGGGCCCCCGGCCAGCCCTCATGGGCCACTCGGACTGCACTGTGTCCCCCTCCACGCACCCCTCCCCACCCGGACTGCCAAGTGGCTGGCAGCGCTGGCTAAGAGGCTGGGCTGTTCTGGGTTCAAACCCTGACCGACATCGATAAGCCCCGATGTCTGGCGGAAACAATGCATCGGCTGCACACAGTGCCCCACGGCCCCACCTCGCTTGCAGCTAAGGGCTGCGCCACCTGGGTCCTGACACTTCAGACAGACGCAGAGGCAGGCGGCCGGTCCCGGACGTGCTGCCACACTGGACCCCACACTGGACCCCGAGAATGGCAGGGCCTCAGGCCCAGGGGCCGGGAGCTTTCTGCGGGCCTGGGCCGCCCAGCTCTGGTCTCCCTCAGTGCACAAAACAGTAAAGGCTCTTGGTTAAGCCGCTGTTACTAGCGTTTCCTGATCCTGCAGCGGAACCGAATTCTCACTTGCGTGGCACAGAAAAGCTTTGTTTTTTTCTCCATCAAATGGGTGTATTTAGAATATCTCCTCCTGGAATGAGGAAACATGACCTCATACTCCTCCACCCAACCCAGCGAACAGGGCACAACCAGCCTGGCAGGGGTTCTTAGTCTCAGCCCCCAGACGAGCCAGAGGCTCCTCAGCTCCTCTGTTCCCATTACTGTTCCCTGCACATTCAGAACTGGAGTCTAACAGTCAAGAGCTCCTTGGGCTGCTGCCCAGAGCCCCATGGGGAGGGGCTGCTGCTGCTTAGGGAAGCAGGGAAGGGGCAGAGAAGGGCGGCCCCCCCCAGGGCTCCAGGTGCCCAAACCTGGCATCCAGCCCTGCAGGGGCCCTGGCACCACCCTGGCCCCCCAGCGCTGGGTGGGCACGGAGGGAAAGTACAAAGCACTCACTGGGGGGCCATTCCCATGTGTCTGCACCCCAGTTCCGCCCTGTCTCAGCTCTGGGACTCTAGGCAGCCACTTTCCCCGCCCCCAGCACTTTGCAGGCCTTATACCTGCGGGTTTCGGTCACACTTTGGACTCGTCAGCAGTGAGGTGAGGCACAGAATAACGCCTGTCCCCACGGAGGACGTACAACTCCCTACGGGAGACTGGAGTAGAGGCTGTGGCTTCAGGCAAGGTGGCTGCTTCCAGAAGTCAGGGCTGGGCTGGAGAGGGGAGCAGCCAGGCACCCAGGTGCCCCGGGGTCCAGGACAGACTGGTGAGCGAAGGCTTGGCCGAGGGCCTGCAGCCAGGGGGCAGGGAGCCTGTCTGGTCGGCCCTCTGGCATTTCGGCTCCATCCTCCTGAGTCCTGGCCTGGGACAGCCCCCCACCCTGCCCCTTTGGGGGGCTCCTGCTCACAGCATGCACCCCCGTACCCCCACTATCCCTAGTGGGTCTTGAGAGTTATCACTATGACCCACCCCTGTGGGACCTGAGGGGACAGGGGAAGGAGGCTGTGGTCTCTCCCTGGGGAGTATCCTGGGGTGCCCCCCCCCGCACCGATCCTGAGCCTGAATCTGGGGGCTGCCCCAAGGAGGGGAAGGCAGCAGGAAGCCCCACCTCCCCCCCCGCCCCCACTGTGAGAGCCTCCAGGGTCCAGAGGAGGACAGCTGAGTGGCCCAGAATCTCAGGGGAGACGGACTAAGGAGAGCAAGCCCAAGCCGGGGGGCGGGGCCCAGGGCAGGCCCAGTGCTAGTGTGGCCGCCCCGCCAGGTCCAGTCACCAAGTCAGAAAGGAGACTGGTGACTTCTGATGTGACCCCTGGAAGGCAGCTTTGAAGTGTGAGTCAGTGCTTTTAACAGACAAGAAAGCTGCTTGTAAAGAGGCCACCTGATGACGCCCAGTGGGGGGGGACGGTCCCCTCCTCGTCCTGTCACTCCTGAAAACCTGCTCTGAGCCCAGCTCTCCGCCTGCCCCCAGGACGGCTCAGCCCAGGCCTCCCTGTTGCCTCAGAGTCAGATGTGCTGTCCCCTGGCCTGGCTCGTGGCCGGAGGCACCACCTCCAGGAAGCCCCCCCGGCCTGTGGCTCCCGGAACCCACATCCCCCCTCCTGCTCAGAGACCCGTCCCCAGCAAGCGCCAGGCCTTCAGAGATGTGCGCAGCCTCGGGCACACCCGCCCCGCTCTGGGGGCCCCCACCCCTGAAGTAGGCCCTGCCCTTCCCTCCCAGGGGACTCCACGTGGGAAGACGGCCAGAAGGGCCGCCCCTGGGCTGTCCCTGGGGTCTGCACTCCTTTGGGTGCTGGCAGTGGTGGGCGGGGGTGGGGGGTGGCAGAGACCCACTAAGCACCTTCCACTCTGAGCCCTCACCTACTCCGAGTACCACGGGAAGCCACCCCCCAGAAGTGTGGGCCGGCCTTGGCAGCCTGGATGGGCAAGGACCGAGGTGGGGGAAGGCCAGCAACCTTCACCCACTGCCCTGTAGACACAGGGGACAGGGACCTCAGGCAGCAAACAACCTCACAGCAGGCCACGGCCAAGAGGCTGTTGCCAAAGCCACAGAGAGAAATGGTAGCAACCTCCCCCCCCCCCCCCGACGCACACGGGGATCAAGAACCCCACAGGGGAGGAAGGCGCGCCCCTGCTCCCGCAGCCTTGCCCCCCTTGGCCTCTGACCCAGAGAGGCCCCCAACTTACAGCCCAAAGTGACCTCCCCAGCCCACCCCCACCAGCCCACACCACCACACTGTCCCGTCCAGCTCGCAGAGGTCCAGAGGAACATTCCAGGCGCCACTCCCTTCCTTCACCCGGCTTGAGGCTGGGTCCCGGGGGCCCAAACCACCCTGTCCATCAAGGAGCCTCCTACCTTAAGAAGAAGGGAGGGGACGGGAAGGGAAGGGAGCCAGCGCAGGCGTCGGATCACAGGTGCATTCAGCTCGTTCCGCTCGGGGCAGGTAGGCAGGAGGTGCGAGGACCCCGGGGCCCCAGACTCCACAGCGCCCAGGCCAGCCGGGCCCCCACGCCGGGGCAGGCGCCGCAGGCCGGGCGTCCCTCTGCCCGCGGGGGAGCGGGGCTGAGCGGCTCCCCGCCGGCCCTCGGCGGGGCGGAGGGACGCGGGGGCGCGGGGGCCCGAGACCTCCGATCCGTCGGGCAGGGGGCCTCCCGGGCGCGGAGACATTGTGACGCGGGTCCCCGCGGACCCCTGCGCACGCCCCCCACCCCGCGCCGGGAGCCCCGAGGGGCGCGGGCGGGGCAGGAAGGAGGGACAGGAGAAGAAAGTTAGGGAAGCGGAAGCGGGCGGCGGCCGGCGCGCCTCCCGCCCCGGCGCGGCCCCCCCCCCCGGCCCCGAGCTCCCGGTCCGCTTGCCTCATGTTCTCCACCGTCCGGCCGCCGTGGCGCAGCAGGCAGACGAGCGCGGCCAGGGCGGAGGCCGAGAAGCAGAGCGCGCAGTACAGGGAGATCCTGGCGTAGAACCGGGCCGCGCCGCTCAGCTGCACGAGCAGCAGCAGCAGCAGCAGCGCCGCCGTCAGCCACGGCCACAGGTCCATGGCCGCGCGCCCCGCAGCCCCGACGGCGCGCGCCTCGACCCCCCGCGCGGGCTCCCGCGGCGTGCGCGACGGCGGCCTGGGCGCGGGCGGCAGCTGGCGGCGCCCCGCGCGCTCGCGCCTCTTATTGCGAGGGCGGAGGGGCGGGGCGGCCCGGGGCGGGGAGGGCGGCGAGCGCGCCCAGGAAGCGGCTAGGTGAGGCGCGCCCCGCCCCGCGACGCGCCCCCGGGTCACCCAGCCCCGGCGGCGCGTCCCGCTCCCGGCCCCGCCCCCCGCAGCCTCGCCCCACCTCGCGTCCCCCGCATCCGGGCTGCCCCTTAGTCCAGAGCCGGAGCTCTAAAGGCAAAGGCAGCCCGAGGACGCCACCGCCCTGGCAGCCCGGCCGCCGAACAAAGGGGCCCTTGAACCGCACCCCAGTGACTAACGAACGGCCACCCGGGCCATCTGCTCCTTCGGGTCCCCTCCGGCAACTGCAGGGAGACCCGGCTGGCCCCGCCGTTCTCTTTCTAGGGGCCTGGTGGGCGCCCAGTGGAGGCAGGAGGGATGGGGCGGGTTTCTGGGCGGGACTGGGGGTGTCCGCCTCGGTGCCAGGGACAGTGTGTCACCGCTGGCACTGTGGGTGCGCGGCCAGGAGCAGATATCAGGCGACCGCATTCACATCAGCTCAGCGACCAGCCAGCCTGGCGGCATCGGTGCCCTTAGCCTGGCTCGGGGCCGAAGGAGGGGCCCTGCCTGGCGCCCAGATTACCTCCGTGGGGACAGCAAACGGGTCGCACGGGGCAGGCTGGGGCTGTAAAGCCACGTCTCCGTCCTGCCCTCCTCTTCGCCCGGCCAGGGAGCTGTGTCCGCTGCAATGTCCACACGTACGCCTGGCGAGGCCTTGGAGAGCGATCCTGGAGGTCTCCTCGGGGTGCCAGAGGCTCAGGCAACGTCACTGCCACTGAAATGCTCTCCTGACACCCCGAAACTGGCCTGTTTTCGCGCACAAATACAAAAGCTTTGCTCTTCAGATGAATGGGGGCCTCTGGCTGTAAGGAGGTGGGGTTCCCTGCGTGGCTGCTCATTCCCAGGCGTCCCTAGCATTCCGGCCGCCCCACGCCTGCCGTTACCTGCGAGAGCTTCCCGGTTCAGTCTCGTTCCCAGTCGGTGGGGCCATCGCTTTGTGTCGGTGTCTAGAGCCCAGCAGGTGTCTCCCCGTGTCCGCAGGCTGGAGGACTTACGGCCCCCTGGGACCGAAGGACAGGAAGCAGGTGGGTGGGAGAGGGTGCCCCGCACCCTGGGGTGTGCAGGGAGCCGGCGGAGGCGGGGCCGCGGAGGGCTTCTCTGAGGGTGTCTTCAGCTGCAGGTGCTGAGGGAGTCCCCGAAGGATGAATGGAGCCCCGTCTACACGGACCCGCAGGGCAGAAAGCGCTGCTTTACCCACTGCTTCCTTCCCAGGGGGCCCCCTCCACCTGTCACTCACCTCCCCCGGCACCCTTTTCCTAACACTTCCTACGACTTAGTTTGTGTGTTTGCTGAACTTCGCTGAACCCAGACAGGGGGCCGCTTCATCGGGACTCTTCTTTTTTTTTTTTTTTTTTAATGTTTTATTTATTTCTAGGAGAGAGAGAGAAAGAGAGAGAGAGACAGCGTGAGCAGGGGAGGGTCAGAGAGAGAGGGAGTCACAGACTGAAACAGGCTCCAGGCTCCGAGCTGGCAGTCAGCACGGAGCCCGACACGGGGCTCGAACCCACGAACCGCGAGATCATGACTAAGCGAAAGTCGGACGCTTCACCGACTGAGCCCCCCAGGCGCCCCCTCATCGGGACTCTTCTGTCCTCCCTGGGGAATGACTGGCACTGACAACCTGGCCCCCTCGCAGGAAGTTCTCCCGAGGAATGTTCTCCAGAGCAGTGCGTCCCCGTTGTACAGACGGGAAACAGGCTCCCAGAGGTAGGGGCCGCCCAGCCAGGAAGTGACAGGGAGGGAGACCGGCCCTGGTAGCTGTGTCCCATGCCCGGAGGCCGCCAGGCACGGGGGCCGGGGGGGTGGGGGGAGAGCTGCCCTCTCCTCCTCTTCTTCCAACTCCCAGGGGTGGCGGTTCTGGGCCCACTGCCAGGTCCTCATCCGGATGGAGAGGCTGTTACCCAACTTCACCTTCTTCCCAGTCTCGTCCCGGGGAAGTGTTATAACAGTTTTCCTCGGCTAGGGAAGGGCAGAGGGGCGAGAGGGGCGGGGGCTGGGGAGCGGTCTTCAAGGCGGGGCTGAAAGAACTACTCAATACTTTACTGTGCCGACCTATTTGGAAAGCTAACAACACCTTTTTGTTTCCAGAAAGTGAAACCCCAAAGAATCTTCTGGGTTGGTGGAGGCCCTGAGAAAAGAGATTTTCTCTAACAGCAGCCATCCTCACATAGGTAGGGACCGGCGTGGCTCCCCTCGGGGTCCACCCCAGAGCATGGCCAGAGCAGAGAGGCTGTGGTGCCCCGAGTCCCCGGGGTGACCCGGGAGTCCGCCCGGTCCCTGCCTGATAACAGCTGAGAGCCCTCCCGGGCATTTGCTGGGGCTCATCCAGATAGCTAGCACATGACACCAGGTGACACAATCAAGGCTGGGCTGGCGCCCCCTCCTGAGGCCCGCGTGAGCCCGCAGCCAAGGGGAGGGGAGCCCCGTGGGTGCCAGGTGCTGGTGTTGGGGGAGAGGGAGCCGGCGGCCTCCCGGACACGCGGGCTCCCACAGGCAGAGCCACAGAGGCGCGCCGCCCACCTGCCTACCCACCCAGGGCCTCCCGCCAGGGCCGGGGTGCGGCCCTGGGGTCTGCGTGTGTCTCTCTCGGGTTGCGCGGCGAGTCTGGAGGGAAGGGCCAAGGCGCTCCACTCCTGGAAGGGAGCCCTGTGTGACCCCCTCCTCACCACCTGGCACCCGGGACAGGGGTGGGGCGCCTAACCGTCGAAGTCCCAAGGTTTGGCTTCACACTGCAAGTTACCCAGTGCCAGGGCCTCCGTCTCTCATGAGGACACTGGTGTCACCTAGCGGGGCTGGGATGGAAGGAGCGCGTGGCCCCGGCCGGCCCCACAGGGGCCACTCCTGACTTCGCCTCTTGAGTCTGGAGGTGGGTTCCTCTCTCTTCAAACCTGCCCAGGGGGAGGTAGGAGTGGGACCAGTATGAAAGCCCGGGAGGGGGTATCTCAGAGATCACACAGGGTCGGGGGTGGGGGCTGGGAGCCTGGGATGGGGCGGGGTGGGGGCTGCGCGTGCCAGGCTGGACTGCCCGGGGCTGGGGG